AGGTGCTTAGAACCAACTCCAGATGAAATTAGTTACTGGATCCCATGATTTACTGTATAGACCCACTACGCATCCAACTAAAAATATCATTCTGAGGAGATGCGAAATGCATGGCGGATCCCGAAAAGGGTCCAATTACGCTGGCAGCTTTATCCTGAGTGTTTTCTTTCTCCAAACAAATCTGACACTAATCAATGTCGCTGCGACCGAAGAACGAAGACGCAGAGTTGTTGACAAAGTGTACAGTTGGCCGTGGTTTCGGTAAACAACAACGAAGCATCCAAAAAATGTACGACGAAGTACGCTGCAAGAACGTTGTTGTACTGTCACAACAGCATGAAGTACTCCTTTGCAGAATGTGTCAGCAGTGATTGAACGGCAATCTGTACGTGTGGATGGTCGAGGAGTTCTGATTCAAGAAGTTCAATACCAAGAGATGCCGATCGATACGGAGCAGGAAACGGAAAAGGTCTGCCCACAGCGGTATACCAATTCATTTTATTTTTTCTCACAAATGACAATAAACATTTTTAGATACGTACTCTGGAACGGGAAAAGGTTTCTGTGGAGAATCAACGTTTCACTGTGGAAGACGATATGAATTCATTACGAAAACAAATTGAAGTCCTCGATGGAGTGGCTGGTCAGGTGAGCAAAACTGCCAAGGGATCAGCTTTTTCAGGCGATTGCTTCATTATCTACTCGGAACTGAGCTTTTTCGCAGTCAAAAAGGAGATGTGTTCGAGTTTAGCCAAAAACCAATTTTTTAAATGCAGGCCAAAGCTCTTATGGTTGCGCCATGCACTTAGCATGCGTTTAAAATCACGGAAGTGCTTTGAGTATGTCTAAAGGGCGTACAATGGCTACGCCTATGTTTGAGTATGAGCTTTACTATCCCCATTTGAAAATGCAGCCATGCTTTTTGTCGCGTGTGTGGTATCGTAGATGCTATTGCTTCCCGCATCTCCCACATAAAATCCGGAATCAGAAGCTAAAAATCATTTGGTAGTGGTTTTTTCAGCTGTTCCTCATTTCTAAGAATCTGCATATGTTGCTGTATGATAGGTATAAGTCCTTGGGTGTTTCCCCAACAGGCTCCACCGCCGCGGCGCAGAGCAAGAGACTAGATGGCGGCAGAAGAAAGACGGGAGTTGCAGCGCGTGAAGTGAGAACGTAGTACTGGTACAACTCTCTTGAACGAGGCTGGAGGCGGTATTCAATCCTTCCCCCAGGGGTTGGGGGACGAAAATCCCTTTAAATTTTCCCTGTCTTCCCGAATGGGGTTGTCCTGATAAAGGGCCTACGTTTAATGTATTTATGTATGTCAATGTAATCATGCGTTGAAAATGAAGAAACTACATCGTTCTAAACAAATAAATTTAAAGGGATTTCCGTCCCCCAACCCTGGGGGAAGGATTGAATACCGCCCATGACTAAACCCCCCCGGCTTATTAGGTTTTAAATGGGCCGTTCGCTTTGCCGCGGTCTGCGTCCAGGTCAACCCTACGTTGGTACAAGTACCAACGGGGGGTCGTACTTGGTTTAGGTTGGAGGGGGGTCGTACTTGTTTCGATTGTAAGAAGTTGCATGAGGATGAGTGGGGTGGCGGCGGGGAAAAATTTGCCCGTTTCAGCGCGCGTATATACGTCCCCCCCGCTCGGACGGCATTTTTGGAGGAAAATGGTGGAAAATGTGGGCGGGGTTTTGATGGAAGATGAGATGGTGGAGGTGTGGAAAAGGGGGTCGTAACCGACCCTCTGTCTTGCGTCTCTTGCTCCGCCGCGCGGTGGGCCTGTTGGGGACACCTCAAGCCCTTAGTTGGCGCTATCGCAAGATAAGGGGCGTCCCTAAGGTTAGGCCTAGGAAAGGCAGCATATTCAGAAAAACAAAGAAACCCAGTCACCGAAACTTGCCTTCCTTCTCCTTGCCTAATGGTAAAACTTCGTCGCAATTTTTCAACGAAAAGGATGTTTTACCAACTTTTGAATGCACCCGTCACGACAATGTACCTCTATCTTGCAATAGCAATAGCGCCTCCTATGTTTTGTAGAGGAACGCAGAGCGGACGGGATTCCTTAGCTTGAATCTCCTCTAGCTGTTCAGAAATGGACAGTTATACGAGATAGCCGCTGGCCCACCAAAAATAATGTCCGCGTCGTCCGAATCCTTGCCAAATATGGCTAGAAGGTATGTGAAGTTGAATGCCTAGTCAATGTCCCTTTTTCTTGGCTCAAGCTTAAGTATGCTTTTTGAGGCACAGTGTTGTTGGATCGATCGCTCCCAGTGAATCATCCCAAGGAATTTCTTCCGTCAATTTTCTCTCAAACGACGATGCCCTCAACAATCTCACAAAATTCCTGACTTACTACGGTAATTATTCCTTCACTAATGTTACGGTAAACAAATGTGGAACGGAAACTAAAGGAAAATTATAAATCGATACCTAGTATGTGCATTTCTAATCTTTTAACTGATTGAAAAAGTAGCTTTTTGGCAGTGTTCCGGCAACTCAACTTATAGTCAGTCTTTTGATGATGCGCCATGGAGTTTGACATTCGTTCAAAAAAGTATCAGACATATAATAACATCCATTGGTTTATATATTCTGACAAAGTCGTAAACATAAAATTGCCAAAAATAAAACACATTTGTCATTTCGCAGGTGAGAAAGTGTCGGAGATGAAGACGAGACTTAGGAGCAGACAACGCGAATGGGACCAATATACAGAGCAAATCGAAGCCCTTGAAAGGCAAATAGATCAACTGCGATGCGGATATGAGTACGATTCTGTGAAAAGGTACAAATATTCTGTAATCAGAGTTGAAACGAGTTTGTGTTTCTCATAAAGAAAGCAAGGAAGAAATAAAAATTGCCTATTAAGAGTAAGCAACCTTACTACCCATCCACCCACGCCGTACGCCCCCTATTTCAGTTTTTGCCAAAAAGACTCATAATTAGTAGCCGGGTGCAGTTCGAGGAATTGGGCAGTGATCGCAAGAGCCAGGAGTGCCATCCTTTCCAGGTTCGCCAGCTGCTCCATCTTCTCCGTTTTTGCCTGGTAGTCCATCGGGTCCGTTGTCTCCTTGAGGTCCTGGTGCTCCTGCTCGGCCAGGATTTCCTGGATGGCCATCGGGTCCGGGTGGTCCCTGAGGGCCTGGCTCTCCCGGTGGGCCAGGTTCTCCTTGGGGTGACGGTACTGTTCGAACCTGGCCAGGCTGCCCAGGAGAACCTGGTTGTCCATCACTTCCTGGATTTCCTGGTGGTCCTTGTGGGTCCAGGAGCTCCTCGAAGACCAGTCCGCCCTGGTGTCCATGTTCACCCGGTGCTCCAGGCATCCCATCTGGTCCTTTGAGTCCTGGTGGGCCAGGAGGTCCAGGCGGAGACGGTTCGCAATCGAAACAAAAATCTTCTGGTTTGGGATTGATTTCTCCAGCTGGTGCGTCCGCTCCTGGCGTACCAGGATTACCTGGAACTCCGTCTTTTCTGGAGCACCGTCTTCTCCTGGAGCTCCAGGTGCTCCTGGAGCCCCAGTTCCGCAGGAGCAGCAAGAATCTGCTGCGCGCTTCCCGCGACTGATCCGTACTGCTTGGCGAATGGAGGTGAGCTGAAATCGAGTAAGCTGAATTTAGAGATGGAGAAATGCTTGATAAGGGAGAGGAACAAGGATCAACTGACCTTGTGGAACTCCGCTTTCACACTTTCTCCTCGTGAACGGCAAAAATTGAGTTCATCCTGCAATCCGGACTGGATATGCTGCATGTATAGACAAAGCATCGGGACAGCAATGATAGCGGTAAGAGTGGCGACGGTTGAGATGGTGACGCCAAAAAACGCGAATCTCTTAACGGATTCCGTCTCGATCAGCTTAGTCGTGTCAGAGGACATCGGGGCAGACAGAGACGAGGTAGTGAGGTGAATAGTGAAAGGCTACGGGGACTGAGAGACACACGAGGGTAGGGGCTATCGAATCGACGATGACAAGAAGTGATTACTCACTTCGGACGAGTCCCACTAAGACGAGTCGTTTACGCCGTCGACGACGTCTTTTATACGGGAGGCCTGTGAACTGTCTAAGCGGGCCGGTAAAAACCTTTGCAATCCACTTCACAAGTGTAACCGAACACGAGAATTGGTTGACGGAATGTTGTCTCTCGGCAGAAAGTTGACGTCGTTGTTATTATAATACTAATTGGATAGTTTACACACACATGCATGCCCCAGTAGCGCTGAACGTCCGGATGCTTGCCACCCAAAAACGCTAATAAAACCCTAGTTTAACACCGAACAGCGCTATGAGGGTGTCTACCAGGGTTACCCGGCAGGCACGTACAAATTGGTGATTGCTCATCTCAGAACTTATTCCTCAGGGTTACCTCTGCAAAGAGTTCTTTTCCAGGAACATCACGATCATTGTGGAAATGGAATCGCCTGCCGGCTGTTGAGCTGTACGTCTCATATCAGGTATGAAATCGCTCTCAAAGCTCTTTGTATCCCTTCTGCAACGAGAACTACAACGGGACTGGCCTCAAGCAAAATACCGATTCGATGGTTGATGGACATCTATTGATGGCGAACGATTCGGGAATCTATCACCCATGTTTTTCATAAAATCGCATCAAAAAGTTATGGGAATTCAGCGTTCACCGCGGTCTGCTACCGCCCTAATGCCGGTTGTTTATGTTCACGGCTGTTTGTTGAGCATACCACGCCCTGGGAATGCGATCAGATCCACATCGCATGCGCCGCGCCCTAGGCATCGTTGAGGATTGTGAAGCATCTCTATCCATGCTATGGCCTGTTGACCATTTTGGCCCAATGCTAGGCTGTAACCAAGCAAAGCACCAAGTCATTGACCTCGGATGACAAATGACTGGATTGGAATGTGTGGAATTCGATCCCCCAGGCACTAGTGGCGCTTCTTTCCACTGCACCATCCAGTTTTTATCAAATTAAAAGAGTTTCTAGGAAAAATTGCGGAACGATACGGACTTGCCCCAAACTCCTTGTTCCTTGGTTAAACGCATTTGACCTGTTGGGGTGGCGCGGTAACTGAATCGCTATCTTAGTGCCCTAGGAGATCGTCCCTGCCCATCCTAATACCCCTATTAGATGAAATCAGATTCGTTCAGCGTAGAGAAAGAAGGCTTGTGATTCCTGTGTAATTAACTGTTTTCTTCCTATTTCCTCCACATGTAGTCCATCTCCCATCCCGACTTGCATATTTGAGTGGCGCCATCGTAAGGTACGGGGCGTTGGTATTACTGTGGCTGCTTGAAATGGAATTTGGAAAAAGTTTTTTCCATGGAAAGAATCTTCATACCCTCGCTCATCTACGCCAGCCCTGGGCAGAGGAAATCTCCCTTCACTCGGATTTTATTGAAGAAAAATCTTCTGACGCTGCTGCTATTGCGCAATCCTGCGCGGTCGCGAATGGGTTAGACGCTAAAAAGA